TATTAAATATTTTAAAATAAATATTTTTAAAAGATGGCAAAGATAGGTTATAAGTTGGAAAATTCTTGGTTTTCATTAAAAGCTCAAAAACTGTTGGCTCATGGGCTTGCAGCTGTTTAAAAGAAATCATATTTGTATTTCATTTTTAGGTGGAAGTCTGCATTAAACTCTATTTTTGTATTGTATTGGGCTTGGCCCTATTTGCTCATTCACTTTTCTTGCCTTGCCAACATCCCCCTTGTATAGAGGATGCAACATGCATGGAAGTGGACTGATCAAATGTATACTTCCTCAGGGAGGCCCTCAACCCAGGACTTCTAACTCTGGCATCCAAGTATTCTTCTGTAGATATTGGACCAGACACAAATTGCTGTAGAATCTCCACGGGAAGCCAGTTCAAGGGATGTTGAGGTTTCATTCACTGAGATTCAGATTTGTGAAATATGAATAATAAACCATGCTCACTTGAGCATTCTAAAAGCAAATCCTAATTCAGGTAGAATGAGCATTTGAACACTAAAGACTGATAGTGAACTTATCAGATCATTCCAAAGTGTTAGAACATGATGATTATGCAAAGGTATTTAATCTTATGACATTTACCACTGAGCTAAAGCTACAAGGTTAGTCTGCTTCTGCAGTGCAATGTAAATGTTATATGATTAAAATGGTGGTGTACATAGCTCCAAGAGACAAGGTACTGTTTTAGTTTGCCCCAGATCATTGCATGAAGCCTTCTGGAATGAAGTTTGGCTATACAAATATACATTTATCAAGTATGAGATTGTGTTTTGATGCTCAACATTTCTAGTGTATTTTAAAATTCCTTGACAAAAGTAAGTTGTATAAATGATTATGAATGTGCAAAACTAAAGGACTGTTTCTTACAGCTACTCATAGTTGTGATCCATAAATGTCATACCTTGACATTAAGGGTTGTTTTTATTAAGTCTGATTATAAACAAAGCAAAAATGAGTCTGATTTTCAGATTTATTGGACGCATACTTCATCAAGTAGGAGCTGTTTCAGGTGAAAATAAAAGACATGAAGAAATCTGGATCAAACGTGAATATTCTGCATTAGGAACACAGATAGATTGTTTTGCTTCCCAAGATAAAATAACCTTTGGAAGCTGAGGCACAGAGATTATTTACACACTTCAGAATTTAAACAAAGACCTTTTGAATTCATGTATTTTCAACAAGAGGAAAAATGTCCAGTAATATACTGAGCAGTTTTATATCACCTGAGGCTGAGTTCCATTTAAGGATGAATAGTGTTAAGAAGGAGAAAAATAATTAAATTGCTTTGTTAAAACAAAATTAACATTCTTGAAGATAGCTCAAAATATCTTAGCTCTAAAGAGTTTGCTAAAACGTATGCACTCTGCTTTTGTTTTTGCAGAAATATATTTAAAAGAGAAGAGTTTCTGCCTTTTCACATAGTGAAATAATACAATGATTTTATCTGTATGATGAAAATCACACTAAAGAAAGTGAGAAGCATATATGCATAATGGAACAAATCTTTTCCATTTTGGTTCTTTAGTCAAAACTTTTGGGTGATAGCTTTCAGATCATCAACAGTTACAGAAATAGAGTATTTTTCCACATACTTTATGAGCTTTTATATCTTTCAGGCTATTAAATGGATATGAAGAAGTACTTTTATTTATCTTTGAAATTTTCCATATAGCCACTCTGATTTTATTATTCATTAGCTAAATATAAAAATAGAGTTTTAAAATGAAGCCATCAAGCATGCCTAAGCTCCAAATATTCTGACACCTTAGCTGAAAAAATGATCTTTTTCTTAAACAAACTGTACTTCATAAGTAAGAAATTCACAAGTACCCTTTGTCACAAGATTCTTCTGCTTGAAAATATGTGAAATTAATATCAGACCTAATTTGAGGTTAGAGAAGTGTTTTTCATTTGAGTGTGGAGTCTCTTAATATGCCTTGAATGTTAAATATGCTTCTTTGTGATTTACTGTTAGGCTTGTTTTTTTAAAAGTTAAACGTGATATGTGCCTCATTCCATCTTTGATTAACTTCTCAGAACAGCCACAATAGCAGACAAACCATGTGTGGGTGACATAGTCTGTTCCACATTAGTGGACATGACCAAGAGCTTTGCATACAGCAGGTGAAACATGACCAACATGTTTGTTAGGAATCTAATAAAATCACACAGAGGTGTAAGGAGTCCATAGCAGGAGTCACTTCCACATTAGCAATGGCATCCACCGATTTGTAGAATGCCCGATCAGGACAATCTGGGACTGAGGTCTACATACAGTGTCTTACTAGATCTGTAGAACAACCCTCTAGGAATGATGGAATCCCTTTCTCTTCATATGTTAAAGAATTTTCAAACGAATTAAGGGTTATTTGCCTGTAGTCATATAGCTGGTCATTGGTGAGTAGAATGGGTGACCAGTGAGCATGTGTCTGAATGCCATATCTGTTCATTGTGCTGTTACGTGATAGGCTCAGCCAGGGGCTGGGGACAAGATAAAGTGTTGGAGGCAGAAGCAATAACTAGGAAAGTGGGGGAAAAAACTAAACAAAGAGGAGGTCTATAAATTTAGGGAGCTATTACCATAGCTTTACTATCTAGAAAATTCCCTGATGTACAGACACCCACTGAATCTTTCTTCACTAACTGAGGGCAAATAAAGAAATATGACTTTTCCAGGCAAAGTTGTTGAATATGAACTTGGCTAAATGAGGAGGTGAGGAAATTTCTTCTCAAGCTTGGACATGCGTGTGAAATTTTCTGAGCTTTAGTGAAGGTGTGGATTCTGAGTCAGCAGATCCGAACTGTTCATTTCCATAACACGCTGGCTGTGTTGTGTCAGGAGTACAGAGGGTTCAAACAAAACTGGATGCACAGTTTCCTCCATTTCCTTCCTGAGTGTCTGTATTTCTAGAACTCAAGGAGAAAGAAGAGAGGGAGGAAGGATAAGGAGGGCTTGCCATTCACCTTGGAAACTCTAACAGAGACTAAGTCCAGAAAGAATAAAGCAAGCCAAATGCTAAAAAAGAACCATAGAATTAACTGAGAGCAAACAAAACCCAAATTACCAGCCAAAATTGGCCACCAATCAAAAAGAGGTTTTCTTTTCTAATTTTCTTCTTTCTTCCAATATTGTTCTTTTAAGATTTTAAGAAAAGAATTGGGGCCTCAAGTCATTTCTCTCACTTTCTATTTGCTCTGTCGTTAGAATTGTGGCTACAAACCACAGGAACTTGTATGTGAAATTAGGAGAATGATTAAGAGAGCTTTGTTTGTGAAAATGAGCAAATGATAAAATAGCACTTGGAAGAATAGATTAAATTTACAGGATTACTTAGTTTCTATTCTTTCCAGGCTTAAATTTTGTTATGTCTTATCATATATAGAGAAATTTTGTTATGTCTTATTATATATAGAGAAATGATATCAACACGCAATAAAGTAGAATGATAAACGTTCACATAGCCACAATTTAGTTTGGAAAGTAAAACTGAAAAGCTAAATTTCTCACTGTATGTGCCCTAGATGTGGCCTTCCCTCTCTTTATGATAGCTTATTATGGATATTTGCTACTTTTGTACTCTAAAAGTCCATACTTATATTATGGGAGATGTTTTTAAACTCATATAGATGGTGTCAAATTACATTTTTACATTTGCTTTTTTTTAATATGCTGTTTGCCAGCTCATTCACTTTCACAGTTTGGTACACTAGCTCCACTTCTGTTTGAGATGATGTTCACCATCTGGCTCCGCATTGACTCTCACAGTGCATAAGTACAGATTCAATATTTTGTATGTTAGTACATTTTTACATGACTCATTGTATAATCTAAGAACTATAATATAGAGTGGGAACAGTTAATAGATGAGGGAATTAAAAGATTGGGGAGAGTTTAAACTTTTGCAGATGATATGTTGAAATTCTCATCTAAAAACGACATTATGTTAACCTCTTTGCCAATATTTAAATGAAGAGCAATAGAAATAATTATCATACTATGATTCAATGTATAGAAATGAAGGAAAATTGTTGTTCCAATTAGGTTGTGTAGGAAATGGATTACTTAATTTATAAAAGGTATATATGTCTGTGAAATTGTGGGATATGAGTGAATTTTCAAAGGTGATATCTACTTTGATGGGCTACTAGTGTACTTACTGTTCAAAAACTCTTACTTTTCTAGTTAAAACTTATTTAAAAACAAGCTTCTTTCTTCTTTTGGGCTTCCTGTGGATAAGTATGTCTCTGGGGTTCATGGCTTCATTTTTCCAGACCCCGTGCATGGTGTTTAAGCTCTTTCACCACTGTGTACCATTTGTAAATAGGACAGTGACTGCATTGGAGGATGCCTTGGAGACAGGTATTTATCCAGACAAATTGCAAAGAATAGTTGAACACTTATTCAATTAATTTATTAAATGTGCTCAGTCAGTCTGATAAATCAAAGAAATGTGCTCTTACCTCCTTCATTTTCAGCATGAGATTGATCTGAAGTATCTGAGATAATTTCAACTTTTACTTTATCTTTACCTGTGAAGACATAACCTAATTTTTCCCTGTGTGAACAAACTAAATTATTCTCACTTCTTCAGAAAACATTTGAAAATCTCTTTGAGATCTTTTCTTTACTGTCATCACTACTGTGCTTTAACATTTAGTTTCTGCTAAATACATGGTCACATTGGCCCACTCAATAGTGTATGCATCATTTTTCATTTATGGGGGAAAAATTGTATAAGTGAATTTTGCGATGTAGAGGCTTCTTTTAAATTTAAAAATGCTAGTGTGGTGGCACATTACTATAATCTCAGTAGTTTGGGTGACTAAGGTTGGAAAATCTCAAATTAGATCCCAATTTGGGAAGCATAGCAATTTAGTTAGACCCTTGGGATATAGCTCAGCAGATGATCTGGTTTCAGTCCTGGAAATAAGTCTAAGAGAAGGAAAAAAAAAACCCTTGACATTTCTTTTTACAGATGGCAGCTGAATGGAAGTAATATTGATATGAGTATGGAACATCGTTACAAGTTGAATGGTGGAAATCTTGTGGTTTTTAACCCCAACAGAAGTTGGGATACTGGAAGTTACCAATGTTTTGCAACAAATTCACTTGGAACAGTTGTCAGCAGAGAAGCAAAACTCCAATTTGCCTGTAAGTTTACGCTTATATAGCTGTCAAAAATATTTAAAGTTATATAACCTAATTTGTGTAGTTTGAATTTTAGAAACCATATAGAAATTGTATTCAGAAAGTAAGGTGAGGGCACAACTCAATATGATTTTCTGAATGGCTATACAGTGTAAAACACATATCTCAATGTAAGTGTGTGTGTGTGCACATGTATGTGTTCTGTATTAATATTTTATAAGGATTCTGCTTAGAGAATGTAAAAGAATACAGGGATAATCTGATTGAGCCACTACTCTGTGTTTGGTACTATGCTAGAACTAAAACAAGTATGAGAGTTCTCGGATGTAGTCCTTGTTCTTGCACAGCATTTAAATTAGAATTATATCTATCAAGAAAAAACACAGTGAGTAGAGAAAGGAAATAATGTATAGGGTGATGTATTGTTGCTAACACTGAGGTATCGTCATAAATGGCAACACAACCTTGTCAATCATACCTGGGGCAACAAGTGGTCCAAACTGAGAAAAATCACATTATTCCTCCAGAGAATTTGGCATTTTGACCAGCAATCTAATTTAGCATTTATCCTTGCCTATTTTCTACTTTCTGCTTGCTCTATTGATTTTCCTTTATTTTAGTTGTGCCTTTTATCTGTTAGGTACATCATGATGAATTTGATACACAGATCTTTATACCACAACAATTCTGAAATTGGCTGCATGCGCTCTTATAATGGATCAGTGTTTTCTTAAGGCATTTTAAGTTAATGTTATGTCATGTATCCATGCCTTCGTCTTTTGCTTTTTATAGCTGGATTGACAGTAGTTAATTTTACTCTTGCCATTATATTCTGCATGTTCTGCTTTTCATACGTTCTTTTCCCCTACATGCACAATAGTTTTAAAACCTACTTTGTATTTATTCATGGATATTTTGAAATCTATAGGATATACTACATAATTTAACCTTTAAATTTGCTAAAATGTTTTGTCTTTATCTTCCCTTTTCTTTTTCCTTTCTTTTCTTTTCTTTTCCCAAGGTATGGGAATCAAACCCATACCTTGCACTTTTCGAGGCAGGTGCTGTGCCACTGAACTATATCCCCAGCCCTTTGGGTATTTTTAATAGCCAGAACTTCAAGTTTAGGTTTTTTTCAGAGCACTTCCTTTGTAAAGAAAATAGAATTTAATTTCCTTTTCTTCAGTGCATAGTTTTCAGTACTTGTGCATTTGCATGATTGATTTAAATCATATAATTTCAATGTAAAAATTACATATACATATTTTATGTGCAAATGCATATTTGTATGTAGTAAATTATATTTATAAAATCTAGTTGTAAATAATGAATATAGGTTTTTACTAGAATTTTACGAGAATTTTATCAATTATCATACTATGATTCAATGTATAGAAATGAAGGAAAATTGTTGTTCCAATTAGGTTGTGTAGGAAATGGATTACTTAATTTATAAAAGGTATATGTCTGTGAAATTGTGGGATATGAGTGAATTTTCAAAGGTGATATCTACTTTGATGGGATAAAATATTTATCTATGTTTTACCTGTCTTCAGTGCCAACTGATAGATCTTTTCCTATTTATGCATTTCTGTTTTTTTTAAATTTTTCAGTCAATGTTTACACATTTGTGAAATCTAACATTATGTTTAAAATTTCAAATGTATTTCATGCTTTTGCATTTTAAAGACTTTTTCCGTGGCCTTAAATCTGAAGACAGCTTTAGGTTGATAAGGAACGTTGAACTCCAGAATGATCAGAGAATTAGTGTATGCTCAGTTGACTTCGGGAATTAGTGCTGCTAAAGGGAAGAAGGTGCCCAGAATAAATCCACTTTCTTGAGAGAGCATCCCCACTTGCTATATATTTGGATTATAAATGATAGAATTATTCTTTTCTTTATTCTTATACATTAAAACAATAGCTAAATTAGTGTTTAACATCTTTTGTTTAGAACTTCAAAATTCTCTTGTACACTAAAGTGTTGTATTTCAGGCATTTTTCTTCCATATCCTTTAGTTTTATGTTTATTTATATGTTTAAAATGCACCAACCAGATACATATTAAGTATTTTTATCCTACTTTTGAAATTCCTTTCATGTCAGTGTTCTGTCATATGAATTTCTGTTCCTGAGTCCTAGGAGCCACATCTTTCTGTATTCTTTTAGAAATGATTGGGTTTTGTTTGTTTATTTTTTGAAATGTGCTTCTACTGCTTTCATTTAGTGCTTCCATTTTTGAATTTAAGAGCTATCAGTAGGCTCTAACATAGATCGTGACCACACTCCATCATTGTCAACTGGTAGTTTGGTTGGACTATTCCTTGAAGAGGGCAGAGTCTGTTCTCTGACCACAGGAGATGTATAGTTTCCATATCATTGCTGTTTCCAAGAGACTTTCATGAAATACCATAGCAAATATTTAAATTTGAAAATTGATTACAGTAAAGGACACATTACCATCAATCCCCATCAAAATACTCATCCTCTCTTTGAACACACTTGCCCACCATTCTTACCACTATCAGAAGCGATTCTGCAAGTCCACTTTTGTAAGTGCCTTTGATTGCATTGTTGTGGCTGCCTCGGTGCCCTCAGGCATTCAAAACACAATGCCTTTCAGATTCTTTTTGACTTTGGGGAAGAACTAAAAGTCCCATGCTACAAGACCTGCTGAGCAAGGTGGAATGACCACACAGTACAATCTTTGCAGACCTTCCTTTCCTTTCAATGCCATTTAGCATAAGGATTCACCAAGTTTTTGGTCATATCTGATAAAAACTTGAGCAGGGACTTCCAAAACTCCTTCAGAAAGCGCTAAGAATGATGGGAAAGTGTGTTTGAAGGGAAAGTGAGCATTTTGAGGGGGATTGATAGCAATGTATCATTTACTGTAATAAGTTTATTGTCTTAGTTATGTTTTACTCGTCGCTGAGACAAAATACCTGATGCCCAAGTTGGGAAAGAAAAGGTTTATTTCTTACAGTTTTTAGAGGTTTCAGTCCATACTCAGTTGGCTCCAAGGCAGGGTGGTGTAGCGGGGCCACAGTTCATGGTGGCTGTAAAGAGCAAGGTGGAAACTTGCAAGAGAGAGATACACACCTTCTTCCTGCCATTACATTGTATGCTGGCTCCACACTTAGATAGGTATAGCACTGACACCATCTATCAAAGCGCTAGACAATGAACCAATCACAAATGCATAATGCAAATGCATGAGGCCTGGGGGCCACCAACATAAACCATGACATTTATCTTTATTCCATTTGATTACCTTTTGTACACTACTCTTTAAGGTAATGCTAAAAACTCTTCACGGCCTATAGTGTGTAAAGGAGTACAACTAAGTTAGTGATTTTTCCCCTCCATGAGCTTCTACTAGCTTGCGTGGAAAATATCTGTACACTTGTATTATATTTCTACTCTTACCCTGGTTACTTGTCAGGGCTTTATAGACATAGTAAGATGAAATTGTTAAATTAGGAATGAGGCTTTACTTCCAAGCTGGTGAGATAACCCTTTTGCCATTTCATGGCTGAAGGGAGAAGACATGAGTGTCTTTGCCTAGTGACTAAGTACTGTACTCCTCACAAAATGATAAGAAATATGAATTTTAACATGGCTGATTGAGTTTCTCTTGCCTCCAACTCCCACAAGGACCTAAGCATAGCTGGGGTGGATGCTGTACCCACAGCCAAGGAACACTGAGTCAGGATCAGAGTCTTTGAACAAGTAATAAGCACGGCTGTTCTTCTCCTCAGGACATATTTTCTTATCTCTCTGGGTCACCATCTACAAACACATCCCTTGAAACATTGGGCTTGATAAGGAGCCTTTGAGCCTGTCATTCTTGCCATATCTAGCAATAATTTGCAGTCTCATAACACACAGTGCACATTGTGTTGTCCTCCCTACCAATCTCATTTCTCATCATTTCTTGGTACTGACTTGACTTTTGGAGCAGAAGTATACTATAGAAGGAAGCACGTGGCATGAACAAATGCCTTCCTGCTTCAGTTGATAATTCTGTGTTTGACAAGGCAAGCCCTTGCATGTTTGCACCTATAGTACAGCTTTCATTTACTCCTATGTTTGATAGTAGATTGATAAGAGTTTGTATTTTTGTTATCCTAACTCTTTTATTTGGGTGTCTGAAGAAAAATATTGAATATTCTTAAACTAGTACTCCATTAATGTGGAAAATCACAAAATTTTGTTGAATATGATTACAACACAGATTTTAGGTAAAAAAAAAAAAAATTACCAAAGAAGGTAAGAAAAGAAGAAGTTGCCAAAGTAGGGCATTGCTTTAATTTGTTAATGTGGAAAAAATGTATTATATTAAATGAAAGAGGGAGTAAAATTAGGGACCCTCCTGTTAGTTAGTACTTATGATTTAAGTTTAGAGACATCTTGGCTGGCTTTGCTGGAAGTGAAGGGATGGGAAAGTGCTGTCAGTGAAACATGTTTGCATTTTTCAATATAGCTCTGTCTCCCTTTCAGACTATGTTGTGTGCTTTGTATGCTTATTAAGACTTTTTTGTTTCTATAATCCATGAAGAAACCATATCTGCGTACTTTATGGATAAATGAATGCATGAGAATATAGTTAATGTGCTACTTTTAATGCTAGTGAAGTGCCAAGAAATTTTATCTTAATTTTCACATTGCTTGAAAATAGTATTGCTAATAAAATGACCGTGAAAAGGATATTTGTAGTTTAAGAAGCTTGCCTTTTGTAGACATTCTCAGTCCAGTTTAATAAAGTGGACTCAAAACCCATGAAGGGAGAAAAGATATAAAATGATGCAGTGTTATAAACATTTGCTCAATTATTTCTGTTGCATCGATATAACTTTTTAGTGATTTTTTTGTTACATTCTTGATCAGATTCTAAGAAGGCGTAGAGATGGCCATCAAAAGTCCCAATAATAATTACATTTATTTTTTCCTGAATTTCTTATACTTTTTGAGTGAAATGTTGAAACCACTTCCAAGTTGCA